CTTATCTTAGATATTTTGCTTATGCACGATAAGACTATAGTATCAGTCCTGTCGGCAATTTAGTCTTGAACCCGACTCATCCGAGTTAAGTAGTGTGCTTGTAGTATAAATTACATTTTTAAAACTAATAAAGTATAATATTCTTATTCAAGTCTAAAACGTATATTCTTTTTTTATTAATAAACTATTAAACAACATTTGATTATCACCCGCTACACAGAGAACGGTTTCAACAAATTGTCGTCTTCGGATACAACCAGAGACACAATATATAATATAACAGAACATCACAGATATCCCCGGTGACATTCATAACACTCTTTTGGGATTGAGTATAGTACTACTTTATATTTATAAAGTTACCTCTTCCCCTAAGTTCAAATTGGAGGTAGTGTCACTGGACGCTCCCTTCCCTCATATTTTTCATATCTCAACTATCATTTTGTGACTATCACATTTACGTATTATATTAATTGTAAATAGATTGAAAATTTTCTTTAATAAAAAAAAAAACTTTTAATTTAACATGACGAATTAAAATAGTTAGTTAACCATCCAAGTCTTGGAATACTTAGAGTAGCTTTCCATATTATAGTTATTATGTATAATAATAATTTACTATTCATTTATTTTTCACGTTCACTACGCTTAAAAAAAAATAACGAATGTTGAATTAAAATTTAATTTCACAAATAAGTGATAGTTTGATTAACTCAACGTTACAGTTTTATTTTTTAAATAGTCAATTTTAGTTTCATTAATTATTTATACATTGCTAATGGGTAGGTATTCTTATGGTATCAATGATTCAACGGAAAAAAAGTTCCTAGAGGCTGGATCCTGCTCTCTGCTGCACAGTAGCTTACAAATGAGTTACTGTAACGAACGTTGTTAAATTTGAATTCAAAGATAGAAATATAATTTTATGTTTGAAAAACGATTCTGAACGAATACTTTTCTGCCAGTAAACCCATATATAGAAATATTTTAAATTACAACAAAATTACTATTATCGGTTTAACTGATATCTATAATTTCAACCAAATTTGAACATAAAGTAAATATTATAAAAACTGTGTATATATATTTTTTAGATTTTTTGTTAAAAGTATGAATACTTCTTATCAGATATTATATAGGTACCTTGTTCAAATATTAAATCCTTAGTTTTAAAAATTGATAAATTTATTAATTTGTAACCTCATAATAATTTGAAAATTTTTGAGATTTTAACGAATTTTGTCAAAATTTGAACGTAAAACGTTTATTAACCACTGTGGCTTTACATATTATTTTTATTTTTGATTCCCATTACCAATGAGAAACATTGTACATTTTGCAATGTCCTGACCAAGCGAAATATTTTTTTTCGACAATTATTAAAAAAATAAAACTATAAATGTGTACTGGAAAATTTCAATATAAATATAAATAATGTATCCATAGTTATTAGTTTTTTAGTTTCACGAAAAAAAAAATGAAATAAAGTATATTGATTTTACAATGATGTGTGTTTTTTTTATCCTGTCTGTCATCGCCTATTGTGGAAGTAAATAATATGCACTGATTTTCAACTCCGACGTTTTTTACTGGCGGCAAAGTGAATCTATTTGTTACTTTGGTGGGTCAAACGAAATAGAAATTCCCAAAACATAGTTTATAAACGCATCGATTGGAAAAAATTTAAGATAAATGAGTTAACCGGAATGAAAATAAATTTTTACGAGCGACTAGATATAAACATTTTACAACAATCACCCGTTTATTAACGATTTTATATTAATCAACACATTATTTTGTTATTTTGTAATAATTTAAAAATCAATAACTTGATATATTTTCACTTTATGTTAAGGTAAATTAAAATTTCTTAATTTGATATATTTTCAATATATTTTGATTCTTTTTGAAATGATTGAGATTCAAAATTTTCGACTTTGTTTCAATAAATATTCTTTACTCGATCTAAAATCTTGGAAATACCTCATTATAAGTTTTATATTAGCCGGAGAAAAACATTAAAGATATATAATCACGTTTTTTTTTAATGTATATATAAATATATATAATTATTATATACACTATTTTGAATTTATCCAAAACATTTTTATTAAATTTAATTTTTTTTTATTTTCAGTACTAAAAAATAAATTACTATACATATTGTAGTGAGTCATTTAGATACGTAGAGTTATTTAATGAACACAAAAAATAAATAAATAAATAAAAAATATTAATTTGAAAAATAGTTATTCCAAAAATCAGTTCTATCTGTTACACAAGGTGTACACTATAAGCATTTAATGTAAGAATTTTGACAAAATTAATAAAAATTGCAAAAATATGCCAATTGTATTAATAAAAAATACATAAATATTAACTTTCATAACAAAGGATTAAAAACGAAAAGCTATTATCATTATTATTTAATATTTTAATCAAATATGTTTAAAACAAATCATCAAAATGCACAGTCTTTTCAAAGAATTTAAGTTCAAATTTGGATGCAATTTAGATATTATTTAAACGAAAATTGCAAATTTTAGTTAAGGTTCTGTACCCCAAATATATTATTCATGAGTACTTTTGAAGTAATTTATTATTTTTATACACATGATAAAAAATGGAAATGGAAAAATGGAAAATTGGAAAAAATGGAACGTGTTCATAAAAAAATAATTCATCATGCTATAATTACAATATAACGTCTAAGTATTAGTAATTTCAATAAAACCATACTATATACTTAATAATAACTATATAGTTAGCCTTTATTATTAAGTATATAGTATGGTTATAACTATTTCGATCAGAATCGTTTTTAATGTACATCAATTTTATATTATAGGGTTTGGGATATGGAATATTTCAATATTGAAAATTTCACTCTTTTTGAATTCAAACAAAATAATGACATTTTTTTCTTATAAACATATCTGGGTAGTGATTATTGCAAATGATTATTGATTACACACATCAATTATCGACAACTAATGACTTATCAATCAATATTTACAAAAAAAACTGTGTTAATATGTCATAACCTAGGTATATTATAATTTATTGATTGGGCTAAGTTGAACTATTTCTAAGTATTCAATACAATAAATCAACTAATAAAAATGTTTTCATGCTCTTTGTTTATGGTCATACACTTTTGTATGTAATAAAAAATTTCCACGTAAATAAATTATTTCATGAACGCTTAAATCTTAATTTCATATCATTGTATATATTTAAATTAACACCTTTCGGTTAGCAAACCACGCGACACCTACAAATGAGCGTTACACACTTGCCCACGTTTTTAATACCGAAAACTAAAATTTTAAATTTAATTAAACTTTTCTAGATAAATTTAATGTAGCCAATTTGTTAATCTTTTGATTTGTAGAAAATGTTTTAATGGCTAGCAAATTAAGATTTAAAGCGTTTTTCAAAATATTCTTTTTGACTATTTTAAGACATAATGACATTTTCAGTTACCTATTCATTATCCGTATAATTAGCATAGTTTTCAAACATTTAATTTTTTGTTTTTCATTTATGAGATATTTCTGCTACATTCTGTATAATATGAGATTCATTTGTATGTTTTATTCATTAATCAACAACGTTTAAGTATAATTTTCTTTTATTTATTCGACTGTGTGTAAATTTAACAGATTTTAATGTCGCAAATGTTTTTTTCTTTGTTTATGTGATATGTGCTTTGCATACTTTATAGGGATTTTCTCAAAGTTCAAACGAATAATTATCTATTACAGTTTCACGAGCAGAACATCTGACAGTATATTTGTAAATTACTTATAATATTTTCGCACATGCATTAATTGCATGTGTATAAATAATAAATATAGACGTCGTACGTGACTAAAGTATGTTTTCAGTGATTATAAGTACGGAACTGTGTATAGCAACCTTTGCCACTCGAATAAAACTCTATCTCAAAAATGTATTTCTATACCTATACACTTGCACAGTTGCATAATTACATAATTAAGGTACAATTTTTTTTTGAGATTAAATAAAAACGATGACGTTGGATAAAACCTACTAACACATATTTTTTTTTTTTAGGACTATTAAATGTACAGAGTGATTTTTAAACATACTCACCCGTTAAAATTTTGATTTTTTAAGAAGTTTAAATTTCAGTTATGGCCGACATTTTCTATTAGGTCTTAATAAGCTTTTAACCACATTTAAGTAATATCCTTTATAGGTAACACTAGCATTGATTTTTCAAATGAGAATCTATATAGATGGTGACATGTTTTAATGAAAGTTATTATGAATTAGACGATTTTCCCTAAAAATGTTTATTTATGTTGAAATCGAAATTTCAATGAAGATTGAAAAGTATCATATGCATTTTAAACTTTAAACAGGTACTAAATATGGGTTGGAAATTATTTTCTTTTGTTTTTCAAGTTTTATCAACAATATTAATCCTCAATTATAATATTTTATAAATATAAATAAATATTTAAAAATTATATATTTGATTAATGATTATTTATTATAATTATTAATTTTAAATAAAATTTTAAAAATTATTAAAGATTTTATTTTCTACAGGTACTATATTCACAAAGTAATTATAATGGACGCTAAGAATTTAAAGTAGAATAACTCAGAGACTTTTCCTCAAATCAACATTATTATTAACATTTTAAAATCATCTGTTTTACGATTTTCATTAAATCAATATCATAATATAAGTTCTGATTTTAAAAACAATGTTTGTATCACCACAGAAAACTCATTAAAAATATCAGCTTTAAGTGCACTTACATCAAACTTCAAAACTCAAAACTTTAATACATACATAATCTGTAGGTACYTACATAAAAAATGGTGTGAAAATGCTTAAAATCCTAATTATGTTATTGCAGTTAACCTAACCTTAAAATAAATAGTTAGTTATATTTTGAACGCGTTTTGTGTAGTGTTATTCGATCGGTATATAATAAAATATATTTATTTTTTTTTTTCAGAAATCACAGAAACTGACGCCTTTTTATCGTATGTTAAAGAAACCAGTCCAATTTACAGTGGAGTAGATAACAGGATCAAAATATTAAATCAATAATGAAGAAAATTGTAATATATATTATAATATCATAGGTAATAATATTATATATTTATATTCATGTAGGTGATGTAGTCAATTTATCATGTCAACTTAACGCAAACTCACCATCTTAGTTTTATTTTTATTTAATGTGCACAATATTTACCTCATTAAAAATTGTTGTTAATCAATTAAAATAATAATATTTAACATTATATAAGACAATTGAAAAAAATTATTTCTTTCCTATTCTTTTATTCCTGTGATTGAATATCGGATACAATTTGGTCTAGATAGGTACTGCTTAATTAATATACGCATTARTTATTTAATTTTAGACATTATCAGTTATATATAATATRTACAGGGTGATTTTTTAAGCATGCTCACCAACATTTTTTCCTTCACTAGTATATTTATTCAAATTCTGWTTTTTAGAATTTGTAAATAGACTTACGTAAATAACATGTTTTCAAATTTTCGATGTTTTTTTTACTCTGATAATCAACTTCTTTTTTTTCAAGCGAGTACCCCTTTTTTATTGAAAATTATTTAATGAATCATTTTTTTTTAAATGTTGATGTATCTAAATCAAAATTCTAATGAGTAGTTTCTGAGTTACTAAAATGTTTAGGATAATAATCCTTCAAAATGGTTTTATAAAAAATAAAAACTGTATGTTATGTCAGATGAAGTWTTTATTATACTTGGATCATTTTTCAAATAATTATTTATATTGATAAATGGTAAACTTTTTCAAATCGTCTAAGACATATTATTATCCTTAAAGCTAAAAGTTACACGACTCAAAACCTACTAGCTTAAATTTTAATTTAGATGCATCAAAATGCTCAGCAAAAAAAAAACTGCTTATTAATAAAATATACAGAACGGAGGTTCTTATTTGAAAAACAGAAATTTKTATTATTGCAGTAATTATAAGTGGTACAATAAATTTCAATAATTCGAAAAATAGTCTTCAATTGTATTTAAAAATTCCAAAAATCTGAGTTTTAATTGGTACATGCGTGATATAACCATGAAAATATAGGATGARAATGTCTGAATGCTTACAAAATTAACCTATTCTTATGTTATTCATTATTGCACGGAATATAAATCAAAGTTCCAAGCGAGAGGCAACTATTGAGCATAGGATAATTTATACTACGTTGTCAGATTCACATTGCCAAAATTTTTATARTTTAACATTTTCACACAATTTTTTATGATACCAATCTTAAACAAGCCACGAGCAATGAGTCGAGCAAAGGTTTATCGACAATGTCACTGATTAATGCATATTATGGATGTCTATTTTTGATCATTACTTATTWTCACTAGAAACAATACGATTAGATATTAAATTAATAATACATTATTATAAGTAAAGTTTAAAACAAGTATTATGATAATTCAAAATATCTATATTGATATCTAATATTTACCAAATAATAATATAGGTACCTGATACMTAACAATAATTTTATCGGAGACTTTTATAGTTTTTACTTTTACCATATTTTGAATTATTATAATTATTTGAATAGATATTGTTTGTACAATAAAGTTCTAAATTGAAAATTATAACATTGCAGAATTTGTTATGCTCATTCGTGTAACTTTTTTGTATTTCTATATTCTTTGATACGCCGACAAATTTGCTAAATCACGTCGCAAAAAAGGTATTGTATGCTCAATCGTGTTTTAGCCAGTTGCAATGGAAAACATAACTTAGGTCTTAAATCGGTAATCCTTCGACAAATACTATCTACAAGCGTGCAAGTTAATGAAAATAATTAACTCKAGTCAAGTTGATTAAACGAACACGTCATGGTCGTTAAGTTGGAAATAGTTATTACCTAAATAATCACCTAGCGCGTGGTTAAGTTTAAATTTAATATGGATCCTAAAATCAGTTTAAAAAAAATATCATCGATCGTTTTAATTTTTCAATCATAACTTCAAACATCAAACGTGGAACTCTAAAAATATAACATAGGTGTCGTATTAAAATTAATTTCTCGTACATTATATTCTATTCCATTGCACCATCGCCTTTTAAGAATAAAAAAAGGCGGCACAATACAGTGGTTTGAAAATTACGAACTTGAGCTTGTGAAATGCAACTTTTTGATGATAAAAAATTATATTTGGAGCTTAAATTATATSTATTACAATATACATGCTATACAAGACTGCAGATAGTAACGGTCCTTTGGTAAAAACAAGTTTGACTWTGAGTAGTATTTGAAGTATGAAATATTTCTTGTGAAACATTGCAATTTTTTCTAATAAAATTATTAATGATGATTATATTTTATCAATAACCTAACCAAAGAAAACTATCACTAATTAGTTGGTAAGTTGGTGATATTTTACAGTAATATTACAAAATTATGAAGGTAAGTTATGAATTTATGATAATTAAACGTACAAAAAAAAAGGTATTGTAATTCTAAAATATTTCAAATTAAGATTTTAAATTTCATGAAATTTTCAAAAATTAATTATAAGTRAAAAGTGCAATACTGCCGCGCGTAATATGTTACAGTATTAACTTTTGATTGAGTGATTATTATAATTTTGGGTGTAACAGTACAATTTGACAAATTTAGTAATATTCGTAATAGAAATTCGTTAAATAATTCTTTCACACCTTATATATAATAAAGGTAAGTAGTTCAAATTGTATGATTTAATTTTATTAGTTTTTGTATTTTAATAATATATTTACAAATAATACAAAATTGTTGATAAATACTAGTTTTATTTTAAACAATAGAAAATAACTAAAAATTAAATAATTTTCAACAAGTTATTAGTTCAAAAAATAATATATTACCTATTATATTAGACAAACTTGGTTTAAATAATATATTATTTTCATTTGCCCCAATTCGACTCAATTGATTGTGTGTATTTTTTTATGAATTTAGTCGAGATGTAATAAGACAAAAATTACTTATTATGATCTTTTCGAAAAAACTCTTTGCGTTATATTTAAAAAAACTTGCATTAAAATTAGAACTAGAATCACACGTTTCGGCTTTGAAAATATTAATTTAATAACAAAATTATAAATCAAATTAAAACAAGTTTTCATAAAAAAAAAAATGATAGATTTTTTTTAAATTTCAAAACTTTTAATAATACCGAGTTGAATAAAAAAAAATAATATCAAATTTGTATTTGTTTCCCTCGAATACAATATATTAATATACCGTCATGATGTATTTAACTGTAATATTATATTCTAATGAATAAAAAGTGATAAACGATGATATCATATAATTTTGGCAAGTTTAAATCACTTTTCAGGTGACGCGCGTAGATAGTATTATTATACCTACAACTTCTTCGCTGTAGGGRAGGCGTAYATATATATAGAGACCCATCCATTTTGACACTTGTGCGCAAATTTATTCGTTTCTGAACTCGATGTCGTTGTACCTATACATAATAATAATAATAATATAACGTATATAGATTGATGCAGGTTGCGACAGGTAGCCCTTCTCATACCTACCGTTATAATAGAATATTATGATAATAATACAATATCAATCACGTTTATTATAATAATATTATAATATATATTGTTGTCGACGCGTCTCTAACTGAATCGATCCATATCGGGAGTATGGTCAACGCATAATATAATAATTGTTATCTTTTGCCGAACACCCGTTATTATAATGTTCTACTTACACGATGGTGCCTACCCACTCCCTTTGCCGAATAACCCGAATATTGTTATTTTTTCTTCCCGAAAGACCAATAATCTGAAGCCCATTAGGCTGCCCTCGAGGCCATCGATAACTGTATTAMAACTTTCTTAAATAAACACAGACACACTTGTCACAGATRGTCACCATCTGCATAATATGGTTACTGCGAGCTGTATGACATAAGCATCAAAGGTACAAAAATTATATATTATTTGCGCCAAAAATTGTAAGATATAAGCGCCAATCTAATATTTTATTCCTGTTAAACCCAACGTACCTATGACATAAGCGCCAAAGGTATTGTACGTTTGATTTTATTCATTTTTAAAAAATTTTATAGACATACAAATAAATTTAATTTTAATAGAATATGTTGGTTGATTTTTTCRATTTTTTAAACAAATGTCAATAATTTACATAACGATAAAGTTATAAATTTAATATCTGTTAGACCCAAATAACCTACCTCTGAATTTAAATTATTATTTAATAAACTACCATTAAATTTTGATGGTAGATAATAATTATGGATCTTTTTTCAAGAACGCTTATAACTTTATAAGAAAATATTTGAAATATGATAAATATTTGCATCTAAATATTTCAAGGCATCTCCAGTAATATACGCACAGCCCCATGCRGAGCTGTTTGTTTCAGCTTGAGAACCATTGATCTATAAGACAGAGATCTCAAACAATTCAAACTCAAATTAACAATGACCGCAACATACTAGAAATGACTACAACACGATTGAGCATAAAAAAGTTTAATTAAAAAAGCATAAAAACTCTGCAATGTCATCATTTTCATATTTTGAAGTATATTATACAAAAAATATTCCTTAAAATTATTTACTATGATTAAAAATATGATAAAACAGTTAAAAGACTTATATCAAATGGACATTTCACTTAGTTGTTATTACACGTCGATTTTTACTATTTCAAATATTTATTTTTATTTTTACAAGTAATAAACAATCTAGGTCAGTAGTATTCTACGCTATAGAAATATGTGATAAAATTGACAGGTCATGAGATTTTGTTGAAAGAAGCCACCCACTGATAATCATTAGCGCAAATAGGTTGGGTCTTGCAGGAGGGGTCTAAGCCCCCGGATTTATTATYGTGATTATTTATTAATGTGATTTTTGTAAAGAAAAAATTAAAATATGACTAGTAGACTGAAGCCCCCCTCCCGCTACTGAAATTCACTATTTGCTCCTATTATGTTGATTATACTTTCTGTTARCTTGATAATTAATTTAATTTAAGAAATCACGTCACCATTTACGTGTCAAACGTCTCAAAGAATTTCCTGGTATTGCGGGAGTATTCAAGTTAATTGGATGATTATTTAATCGGTAATGAATCTTTTATAAATAGTTTTTACTTCGTCATTTGTTGTAGGTATTAAGTTT